AGGTAGCTGCCTGGTGGCTTACTAGCACATCATTTCCCTGTTGTTGTGGTAAGACAGAGCAGCATATCAGTTGCTATGAGCATCCACCAGATCTCTACCCATGCTAATTAGATTTGGACCTAGGGAAGCATGCTGCAAATTATGTTAGTTTGGGGCATTTGGGTGACTGCTTGCCATTGTCAGCAGTAGGTAGGAATGGGGGCAGGGATGTGCATCACCTGCTTCTATATCCAGAGCTCAGTAAGGACAAAGAGTAGGAGAGCACTGAGTGGGTTTTTGTTCATTTATCCTATCTTTCTTCCCCTGCCAAATGGACATGAACTAGACAGAGAGAGCCAAAATTGGACCACTAGGTCCCAAACCCACCTGAATTTTGAGTTTCTGAACCTGAAGTCATTGATAGGGCTTTGGATTCTAAACTGAGGGGGGATATTTTTTCTGGACGGGGCTTGAGACAATGTGTGCATCTTAAAGACAGATGGCCAAGTAAGATGGCCATTATTTAGAATGGTGACCCAGTTGGCTGAGCCCAAGAGCTTTTTAGCCCCACTGGATCCACATTAGATCCACCCTAACCTGGCTCCAAACATGTTGGCCCTTTTGTCAAGCTGCTCTTTAACTTCATTTAAATTGTGTTGGGAATGCAGTTTTCATGGGGGTTTTTTCACTGCTAGATAGAAAGCCAGACAGGAGCACCAGTATTTGGTATCTTAAATGGATAATGGAAAATGTGAGAGAGGGGAGGAGGGTTTAAATCAAAACTATTTGGTCATCTCCAATTCCTACACAAATCCCCTACATGCTGGTCTACAGTGTCACTGACTCCCAGTAAGTGGCACTCTGCTTTCTTTGAAGTACATGGGACCTTTGCCACAGAATGGGGTTGGATGAAGCTACCCCAGTACAAATAGGGGATTTGTTTCCACAAACTGTCACTACTCACTCACTTGCTGTATTTGTCATCATATCTGCAGATGTAGCTAAGATGAGCAGCAAAAGCTTCTACTGCCAGTGGGCACGGGATCTCTCCACTTTTCCTCTTTATTATAACTCCTGCATCAACAAAAAGAACAGTTGTTAGGGAGCCACAAAATCTCATGACAGTTGAAACACTGAGTATGCTTTCTGAGAAAAAGATGTGGAAAAAGGAGGCACCAGCATGAGACTCCACTAATCAGAACATGGGTTTATGAACTGAGCCATGTTGAACCTAAAGTTTGCTTCCCTCTTCCCTTCTGACCAGCAGACCCCTGTGTGACAGTATCTAATAGTTCTCAGGCATAATGCAGACCAGAGCAGAGATGCCAGCAGACCAGAGATGACAGAGAACTTGGAGCTCTAATCCTAGAAAAACTGGAATCCAAAGAACTGGCAATGAAATCTGGCGCTGCTGGGTGCTTGGTCAGACTCATGAAACAGAGAATTTTAATATGCTGTTATGCTGAGATAGTAAACCAGAACTTGCAGAAGTTCAGGACTGGTTTATCTGAACCTAGTGCTATGGGTCTGTACTGTACTGATCCTTCTTCTGCAGACTGAAACAGCAACAGTTACCCATGGGATCAGGAATCTCCTTTGTTACTATTATAAGCCTTGAGCTAGTGGCATCCACAAGGAAGTCTGTCACCAGATATGGTGAAAAACTGAGTGCTGCCTGCTGCAACTTCTCTGTCCTTCCAAAATGACTCCTCTCTTCCTCCCTGAGGTGCTTCCTCCAAACCTATTTTCTGCCACACTTGGATGTATATTCTGCAGGCATATACACATACTATTCTAGTGGTCTGAGAAAGAGGCACATTGAGCACTAACCAGCCCAGTCCACACCCCTCTGGTGAGATGGAGGTGAAGAGGTGGGGAGAGAGGCATTAATAATTGGTTTCAGGTGAGCTGCATTATGTTCCTGCTAGTGGGAGTTGCCTATGTGCTATTTCTCCTGTTTAAGGACTTGTGCATGTTCTTTAAAGTAAACTATGCCTAGTTTGTATCTAATTGAAAACCAGTGCTGTACAGTAATGCCTGAGCTAGCCCAGGAAGCAGAATGGCTATGTTAGCATGGTACTTCACTTGGGCTAGCTTACCATGCTTGTCACTTTACCTTCCTAACCAAACTAGGGGTAAAACCCACCCACACTCTCAGCAGGGTACATTAACACAGCTAAACTGCTGCTCGTAGCCCAGCTAGCTTGTACAGTAGTTTGTTTTTGTGTCTTTGCTGGAATCATCCTGAAAGATGTGGTGAACGATATGTAAATCATATGAAGTCAGTGCCATCTCTCCTTGTTACTGCAAAATGGCTTTCCCCTAACACTTAAGAAAAGGAGGAGGATATTTGTGTAATGCAGGCCTTTTAACAAAACAACTTTCTTCTGGTTTTAAAATTTAATTTCCTTTAATTTGCTCACTATTTGCTTTCATTGAAAATGCAGCATGATTACAGCTACAGGGGCACCAAGTACTCCCTCTTGCTTTCTGTTACAACCAGTTTAATTTCTTAGTTCTAAAATGCATGCAGATTTTTTTTCTTGCACTTCTCAGGCTTAGGCCAGGCAGTAGGGGGAATCAGGTTGATAGTGGGGACAGCTACACGTGCCCTTTACTGCGGACTTGACTAATTAACTCTGCCCTACCCCACCCAGGGTAACCTGCTGCGCGCCACAGGGCATGTGGCATGGGCATTCCCCAGGGAAACACAGGTCCCTGTTCGTCCGGACGCACCCACAGAGTATCTATGAAGTGTGAAATCCCATGAGACTCTGGGTGAGGTCAGTAGGAACTTCTTGGTGGTAGACCAGCAGGAAGCCAACTACAAGACCCTTGTAAGGGCAGAAGCAAAACTGTTGGCTCTGTATTATAAATAGTTGTATATAAGAGATATATATATACAAAGTTGTTTATCCATTACAAGCCTCAAGATACTGCAGATAGTTCCACAGTAAAGTTTAGTTGTGGTGGCACAAGCTGTTCCTCATTTCTGGCCTTTTCCATGGAAATCTCCTGGGATGTGCCCTTCAACCAGGCCTGCCTGTCAGCAGAGCACTGATGTAGTTCTTCCCCTCGAGGAACTTCTAGAGAGACTGTGCTGCAAACAGGGGTCCTCTTTCCCAGGGCAGCAGGAGTGGGCACTGCTGCTGAGTTTGCAATTTTAATGCAACTCATGATAGTGTATTTTTCATGAGACTACTTTTGTTGCTAAGAGCTTCAGACCCTTCTGGTTGCTGAAAGGAGCTTAAAAATGTGACTGCTCCTCTCAAGGGTAAACATTAAAACTAAATTTAAAAACCAGCTAAAAATGTTCTATAAAAACAAAGATAGTGCTTTTTAAGGCAATCTCATGATTTTTTGGAAGCTTGACTAGTGAATTCTGATGCAGCTGGTAATGCATTTTCTTTGTGCCATGAGCACTGCCAAGGTTGAATAGAGCTCTCCACATTAAGAGAACGCCACAAATACCATCTGCAAAGTCCAATTCCTGCAAAGTTAAGGAAAGGGGCAATCCTAAATTTTCCCACCGTAAAAGTGCTCATGCTCACTTTTCCTGGGTGCTAGAGTGAATTCTTAGAAAAGATCAGTGGCAACATGTAGGGGGTGCACAGGGGGTGCACACGCACCCTCTAAGAGCTCTGGTGCACCCCCCTGTCAGGCCATGCTCGCCGCTTAGGTGACAGGCGGGGGGGGGGCAGGCGGGAGTGCCAGTGCCCCCCTGCAAGCGCCGGCCAGAATAAAGAGGTGGCTTCCAGGAGCTCCGCGGTTGCTTTCAGGTGAGTGCGATTGGCTGCGGGGGATCCCTACCCCACCACTGGTAAGCGAGATTGGCTGTGGTGGACCCACTTTGAGTTGCTGCAACCCCCCCCCCCAGTTGCTGACAGGTCACTTGGGGGGGCACGTGCCACCCTTTATTCAGATAGCACCAGTTGCCCATGGAAAAGATGTTTAAAAAAACTTAGGGCTTTAACCAGTGGAGACTGCTGAAATCACAGTTTTATTGTTAAATGCTATCATTTAACAATAAAAGGACTATTCACACTACTTTCCCCTTGGTCTGAGTTCCTGGGGTTCTGTGAGAAATCAAGTGTTTTAGGGAGTTCAATTTAACTTAAAACAGTCACTCTTTCTTCCAACACTTTCTGACCCCAAGCTTCTTCTGGGGAGACTGCAGAAGGGGGTCCCCCCAACTACCACCACTAGTGACCTTCAGGAAGGGAACAAATTGTAAGGACAAGCTAGCCAGAGACTTTAGAAAAAGAAGCAGCCTCAGCAGCTGTCAGAGTGATGCTACCAAGCTTCTTTTGACAGCGGGCTTGGGGCATTCTCCATGTGTATGCTTCATTTACCCCATCCCCTCTTGTCCACTTCCAGTCTCTTCCCAGGCCCTCCACGCTTCCTTCTTTTCTTCTTCCCAGACTTCACCCTCTTCCTGTAAGAGTCCCCTCAAGTTATCTTTATTTAAATAAGCCACCGTCTTAACGAAATCCTACCCCAACACATTAAAACATAGCCCCATGCCCACCCATGCAACCCCATGGCACTAATGTGCCACTTTTAACTTGCGTGCTCCTCTGTTTTAGTGGCACAGTACTTTTCCTCCACCCTTTGACTCACTAAGCTTGTACATAAAAATGCCTCAAAGAAAAATCTAGGGTTCTGAAAACGTGCAAAACACAAGCTGGGTTCCAACAGAAACTGGCCTGGTTGCCTGTGTGCAATGTGCTGCCACCCACCTTTACACTCAGAAAGAGAGAGCCACCTGTTCCCACTCTCATATCCATTGTTTCAGGACTGCTTTCTGTGACCACACTCCCACCTACCCCACTGACTTTTGTATTTGTTTCCTTCCTTTCCCACTCAGTCCACAGGCTCAGCAATGGCTTTGCTACAAGTTTGTAACTCCATACATGAAACCTTCAGTGGAAGAGACTTCTTAGGCCAGATCCTTAAGCTGTTGAAATTGGCATCACTCCATGACTTCAGAGATGTCAATTTATGACAGCTGACAATTTGGTCCCCTACGCTTCTCACTAAGTCTCCAACTCTTCTCAAATCTCAGCTGAAGGTCCTTTTGTCTCTCTAGCCTGCATCTCAAAAACTGTTTTTTACAGTTTGCTACTATGGCTAAAATTATACTAACATTTGACATTTCTGTTTGTTATATAAGATGAAATTCAACTGGTTTTAGATTTGGTGGGTTCTCTATATTATGCCCAAACATGTAGATTTTTTTTTTAAATGGTGGTGTTGACTGTTAAACACTGGTGACCTTAGACAAAAGTGTAGCAGCTTTTTAGGCTAGGGATAGAAGTTACACCAGTTGAAGTAATCAGAAACTGGTTTAAACCTGTAACAGAACAGGAGTTCAAGTGGGCCACAAATATAAAAGTTTGAGAACCACCGTCTTAGACAATGGAACTAATAAGAGAAATATTAAACGGACTCACATTTATTTTTTGAATCTTTTTTTCCATTTTTTTCATTTTCAAAAACCTATTTTTAAATAACTGAGTTTTCCTTTTAAAAAATCCTTAATAGGAGTTTCAGGAGTTTAAGAAATGTTTTACTATCATCTAAAACTATTTCCAAATATTTTTTTTTAACTGTCTTGGTTTTTCTTTTTATCAGCTGCTAAAAAGAAAAAAAAAAGTTCCATACATGTTAGGAAGCTTAATCAGACTTTCTCTTGGCAAAAACAACATTTGAAGTGAATAGGTTTTAAAATCTCTCAGAAACTAATTGACAAATGCTTATAGGGCTTTAAGACTAAATATTGTTCCCAAATACACCATGCCTTTAGAAGCTACTGTTTTCAAAGATTCATACAGCAGTGATTCCATGAACCATCCTGTCCACACACCAGTAATCAACAGGAATATAAACTTTAGCATCTAAAAAGGTAGTTTGCTCTTTTATCTGCATCAATAGGTAATCCTGGTAGCAGTAGTTTCGTTATAGCTTTTATGTGAAGACTACTTGCCAACAACTTTTTAGCCACTTCATGCAGGTTAGCTAATACCTTAGTAAACATTTTAAACTATGGGAAATAAATAGGGTAGAAAGTGAAATAATAATTAATATTACAGTCTATCTAGGTTTATAGTTTCCATAATTTGTCTGGAGTTACCAGCCTACCAAGTATCTCATCTGGTTCTGTGACCTATAATAAAAAGAAGTCCACGTACAGATGAAAATATTGCTAACTGCTTACCTTGTTGAACTGGAGAATAGGCATTAGTGAGAAAACGAAAATGCCCTTTGTTATACCAGCAGATTAGGGACATGTTTCCCTTCATCTTTATTCTGTACTGTCCTCTGGACTGGGGAGCATCTGGGTTATTCAGCATGGACGGAGGTAGGCCTGTGCAGTCACTCTTCCTGGAGCTCAGCAACCCGCAGCAATAAATCTCTGTATATGAAAGAGAAATTCCATTAGCAACTCATCCTGTGGATGCAGAGAGAAAGGATGGTGGGGCTGTCTGATCTAGCTTTTAGGAAAAGGTCTTTCTCTAGTAAGTTAAGAAAGCAGAAATGTAGTTTGACTAAAATCTTTTTTCTAATATCCAAGAACTGTTGTTTTTTTTCCTTAAAGTCCAGTAAGTTTATGAAGCCAGTTCTCAAGATGAACACTTAATATGATGCAAAGGAGAATTTAACCTGAACATCTGAGATCCTCCAAAGAGTGAGATCAAGTAGGATATGCAATATCTTTCCAAAACAGAGGCCTTGTTGGTTGGGTTTCTTAACAAGACTGAATAAAGGAATGGAGAAAATGCTGCAGGGAGCCTTCATGGACTAGTGACTTAATCAGTCTCTTTCATGTTTGAGATAATAAAGTGTGAGGAAGGCAGAAAAAGCCTGTGGCTTCTGAGATGCCAAGGCGCGGGTGAGTTCTCATAAATGGCTCCCATGACACCTTTTTAATTCTACAGCATCCGGCTGACAGCTTCTGGTGCCAGCAGCTGACAAGTCAGCCACCAGCAACCGACTAGTAAAAACCCTGCTCATCCTCCTGGTCATCTCTCCACCTCCAATGTTTATGTTATGAGAAAGGGAGCAATAAGGAAATTTAAATGCCAGGAAATAAGTAAAACCTCTCAGTGGGCACGTCTACACATTCATTAAAGTGCAGTGGTTACTGTGCATTTAATTTAGTGCTTGTATAATCAAGTACTAAATAAATGCTCAGTAACCTGAGGTACTATGCAGTAGTGCCAGTGAATGCCTTTTTAGTGATACTACTGTGCAGTAGCCTACTACTACTACTGTACAATAGTGTATTAGCACTATTGGTGCTGTGATGTGCTACTGCACAGTAGTATTAGGCTACTGTGCAGTTAGTGTCTCATATAGACATGCCCTCTAGCAATTAAACTAGTCTGATTGGAATAACAGAGCCATTTAACTCATGTTAATGAAAACCAGACCCGACTTGCATTACGCATGTCTATGTGGTAAGAAATACCAGTGTTATTCTATTAATCTGAATTAAGTAATGCCATTCTTATGCAAAGAAATCCTAGAAATCTTAAAAGGAAGTCTCCTCATGCTCTCCAAAGGTTTTATTTCAATCAACTGAAGGGAATGAGTGTATGTGTATGCACCCATGTATACTCATAGTGAAGTACTTATTATGCCAGAGTTCTCCATTGAACTAGAAGCTTCAGGCTGCTGTATTTCAAAAGGTAAAATGAAATAGGTCTGTCAACTTAGAGCGCTGACCTAAATTTTTGTCGGGCTGAAATCTGCTTGTCAGAATCTAACCTGTCATCCCACAGCAAATAAGGAAGGAAAAAAAAAAAATCAAACCCTCTCTCAAGGGAAGGCTAGGAGCTCTTACAAACTACATAAATGATTCTGCCTCTCTACTCAGTTCTTTGGGGCAAGGGCACTCTTTGTTCTGTTCTTGTACAGCCTTCATAAAAATGTTAAACTGATGCAAACCAATGAACTACGGGCTGGGAGACCATATACAGTTAACCCTGCAGGTACGTTACAGCGGAAGTTTAAATTATTCTTTCCCCAGTAGTGAGAAATGGAACAGCCATTGCTCCAATGACACGAGACTCTTCTTAAGTGTCAGAATGGTCCAATACTTCATTGGCTTATTTGAGAGAGAGAGGAGATGTATGCTAGCTCAAGGGGTCCTGCCAATTCTGACAGAAAAAACCCTGTGTGACAGTGGAAATTTCAATTCAGTGTTTAGCCAGTGTTCCTGAAAACTTCAACAACCTAAGTTTTTAGTTGTCAATACATGCCAATGAGAGCGTCACCACTGCAGTGGGACTGGAGCTCTGAGACTACTCCAGAAGTCCTTAAATTGGGGCCATTTTTTCTTTAGATGTTAGCAATTTAGGGCTGACAACTCACTAAAGGTGCAGAGGTGTATATATAGCCTGCCTTCTAGTCACTGAAGGGCCATGCTGATTCTTCCCAGTAGAGGGCACTGGCATACCAGTACACTATAAATACATGGCTGCTTAGACCCAAATACAGCAATTATTACTGCTGAGGTCCAAGGTAATTAAGTGCAGCCTTTCCTTGAGCTTAGATAATAAGTTTTCAAAAGACAGTAGCAGATGTTTTGCTCTTTTTGCAGGATAATGGAAACCATCAGGAACCATCTATCTCTCAGGAACAAATAATGAAGCATCTATGCAATATAAAACTAGGAAGTGGTGACAGTTATGACTGCCACCGATTGAATAATATCATTTGTAGCGGATGGCATGTTTAATGGATGTGGGGCTTTTTGAAAAGCTGTACTTACAACACCCAGTTGCTATGGCAGTAAGTACGATAAAAATGAAGCCCATCTGGCTCAATGGCATTTTCCATGTAATTAAACTTGGATCATAAGACATTTTATTACAGTCCAGAAGAAGATGAAGTTTTACACAAAACTCAGCATAGAGCAATTCAATGGAGCCCAGTCTTCCTCCTCTTCTTCCTCTTGTTGTTACATTTGTGCTACAGTTGGAGGTGTGACCGTTACCAAGCTAGTTCTGGTAATGGTGCTAGTGAGCACGTGACCTCATGGGCTTTGACGCAGGCTAGCCATCCAAGGACATGCCCCGAGTCCCTTTGAAGGCCAGAACAGATAGCCTGTGTCATCATAACTTCGTTATCGTAGTTACCCAAACTAGCTGGATTAAGGGTAGCTCAGGGATACCTACAGAGGTACCTCTCAATTACAATTAAGCCAGAGTCAAAAGCAACAGACCTGTTTAAAAGGGAGATAAAGAGAAACAACCACTCTATGAATTAGTGTCTTTTATAATCATTATTACTCAACATGCAAAAAACCCAAAACGTGTCCGTTTTGGGGCCTTTTAGATCAAGGAGAGAGTAACTTTGCCACCGAGAGAGACTAGATATCAGGCTCAGAGGACCAGTGGTCTGACCCATTATGGCATTTCGTATGTTATTGTCTAAGTGATTCAGGAGACAGTGAATCTCAACAAGTTCAGTGGTTCAGTTCAGAAAGGGAGATCTCTGATGATCATCAGGAGCAAGCTTGAATCTCAACAAGGACAAGCTTTCTTGTAAGACTTCTGGCATTTCTGCCTCTGGTCTTGGTTGAAACTCCTCATAGAACAGCTTTTCTTGTGGTATTTCAAGTGCCTTAGCCCTTGGCAGTTAGCATTATATGGCCACTGGACACTTCAGCCCCTTACTATAGGCTTTGTTACCTGGTTTTAGGAATGGTCAGAGTTGATTTGATTTTTCTGAAGTTCTCTCAGCCCACATATTTTCAAAGACCTAATGGGTCCTTGAAAACCTGAGTTTACTGACATCATTTCTTATTTTCCTTTCCTCTCTACCCTTCCACAGACACTTTGGGACAATAGTGTTAATGTTTTAGAGACCCATTATTTCAAAACCTTGTTGAAGTTGTGAAGCACAAGGAAAAAGGAGGACATTCAGGCTAAAGGTGCCAGAAACAAATGTGGATAGCAAGACTTTCTAAAGTGAGTTACCACAGTTTATTGGGGGGGACAGAGGGGAAGGGGGAGGGAGACGGGGAAGAGAATAGGGGATATGGGGGAGTGAGGTACTTTAGTTTTTAGATTCCCAATGGAACAGCATCCTAATATTTGGAAATAATGCAGGTGACTCACTTTTAGAACAATCAGATTCCTTCAGTGTGTCAATGAAAAGCACCCAAAATCATTAGTCTCCTTAAACACCCCCCTCCCCACAACACACACCACCTCTCAATTCAAATCTTTTCCCTATTTGGTTGTATTTCAGATAAATTACTTCAATGTGGAGATTTCCCGTCTACCTCACCTGCTCAGTTCTAGCCCCTGAATTAACCTACAGGATTAAGGATCCTAAGTCAGTTGGGAATGTCTCTGAATTTTGTCAGAAATCAGTGGGCACCCTAGCATAGGTGCTCCCATCCTATGGGCTTGCTAACCAGGTTCTCATGATACTGTTTCTTGGTCACTTTATCTTTGTTTTGCATCAATACCCAACCATGTGTGACCAACAGAAATGATTGACCTCAGGGCACTTCCCTGTTTGACCATACAATACTGAGATACAAATGAAGACTTTTCTAATAGACTCTTCTATTGCCTCTTCTAGGGCCAAGATCTGTGCCCTGCCTCAGCTAATGCTGTGGGATCAGAGCACGTGCCAGTTATAGTAACCTTACTTCTGGCTCTGTGTAGGATTAGGATACACAGTCTGCTCCAGTGCTCTTGATTGACTTCACCACTGTGGTGACGCATGAAAGGCCTGATCTCCCTGAGGGGTCCACAGCCCTGCCAATTCAACATGCCTCTGCCAAGTCAGCAAGCTAGCCAATAACACTAAAAATGTAAGAGACCAAAAAAAAACCCTCTACTCAACATAAACACCTCCACAACCTGCACTGTAAGGAGTATCCAGCTTTTTAACCATAGGTGCATCTACATGTGCAATTAATGCTACTCAATTTACTGCACAGTAAATTCAGGTGCATTAAATTGCTCCTGGACACATGTCTACATGTGCATCTGGGTTGGGAGCAAACTGAGCCCAACAGGAGCAGCCTAGTCCAGGGCTGCTCCTGCTCTGCTCTGTCCCCCTGCAGCAGGCAAGGGGAGCTCCAGGCTCCCTTGGGTAGGTGCCAGCCCTGGGCTGGCAGGGGATTCTGGGGGCAGCCCTGGGCTGGCAGGGGCCAGAGGGGAGCCAAGTACAGCTACCAGGGGTATAGCTGTGGCCCCCTGCTGCCTGGGCTAACTGGGAGCAATTTGGTGCCAGTCAGGGTCTACACATGTGCTTCAGCGCGTTAGTTTAAAGCTCCATTTTCTAGTACCTGTATCTGTTGGTACCAGGAAACAGTGCTTTAAATTAATCTATTGCACAGTAATTGCTGTGCACATGTAGACGGTGGCACTTTACTGTGTATTAGATTAGTCTAATGTGCAATACAATGCACATGTAGATGCACCCCATAAGTAGTAAATCTACTACCTCACTGGCTCCTCTGCACTAATTCACTAGTAGAAGTGGTAGTGGCAACAAATTGGGAAATTACTTTTGAAAGAAGCTAGAAGCTGTGCATCATAAACTTCCATGAAGCCATATAACAAAACAAGAACCAAATTGAAAACTGAAGTGCTAACTTATTTGATCAAAAATACACTTACTTTTTGAGTTTTTTTTAGGAAGGATTACATGAATCAGCTACCTACTAATAGCTGGTAATTCAAATTCTCCCTCCAATGCAATGCCAATGAATAGTTTACTACTATAGGCAAACTGAGTTACTGAGTAATTAATTACTCTGATAGCTGGTATCCATTGCATCTTTTTACTACAACCCAAGAGAAAATCCATGCTGTGTTTTTTCTCCTTCACAAGTCTGAGCTTAAAGAGCCACTTTACAAGAGTCTCATAGCTCTATATAGAAGAACATAATAAGTCCTTACATTTTACCTAAAATAGCTTGAGAATATAGGCCAAATATTCCTAACCAGACACTTTGCATCATGGCTTTCAGAATTCTATAATAGCCATGTGGGTTACTTCAATGCAATAGGCATTGACATCTTGCCCACATGGCCATTATAATTATGCCACTGAAAAAACCCCTCATGATTTCTTTGAAATACTTCTATATGCTTATAAAAAGTGCTCTATGGAATTAGAGTATGCAAGATCTCGGGGCCCAATCCTGCATTGAGTACAGTGTAGACAGACTCCTGTAAAAGGCCCAAGTGTAGGACTGAAGTCCCCGACTAGTTACGGTGCTGTACTAAAACCTCTGGAGTTTTCATTTTCAGTATGATTCAAAGTAATCACTCAATTCTATTTCTGAATGCCCCACATGGATTTAGTTAACTTCAGTGTAAGCCATACTGAAAGCAAATCTGGCCCTGAATGGTGGACTGGAAGGATTTCTTGTATGGAGCAGCCCTGAAGCATTTACATACAACAAATCCTTGACACTAGCAACTCAAATTTTAGTTACTCTAGAACTCTCTGCTGACAGGAAAATTAGGGAAAAGTTATGATATTGCAGGAGCCAATGCTAAATGTGTCAGTTGACAAGGCAGACATGTTTAATTGCTGTCAGAAGGGAAGCACCCATGACTCCAACTATAGTCAATGGGATCTGTGAATACTCGGATAATCTGACTTCTATATAATGTCAAGGATTAAGAAGCACCTGGGAGAGGGCAAACCCAATACATCCTCTATACTCCACAAGACTTGCTTATTGTAGACACAGCTAATACGTTTCTGTTCTTATAACCACTATTGGCTCCCTAGAAAAAAAATGCGCTGTGCCAGCAAAAGCACTTCTGTGTTGGTATAAGTGTGCCTATATACTAGGGCTTTTGCCAGTATAGAAATAAAATCACCCCATTAACTGGCATTATTACCCCAGCAAAAAAAATCTAGCTCAGACCTGGCCTTAGTTAAATGTCCTGGCCATCCCTGCATTTTTCTAAAAATAGTACAGAAGATTAGACACTGAATTTTTAAGGTAAAGAAAGAGATGGGTCCTTCCATTTCCTTTAGAAAAAAAGATTTTCACACCTCCTTCATGCATCATGAAGAAGAGTACAAGTTCAACTTAAATCTCCACAGGTCACCTCTTGATGAACTTAAGTTACGCTCAGGATTAGCCAAGAATCTTATATATAAAGAGATAAAGCTGAAATTAAGGGCATTTTCCACCATGACTTTCTGTAGCATATCCAGAAGCGCTTTGGCATTCAGCGCTCCACTGGTTGCCTGTCACAAACCTTGTTTCTCAAATTCTTCAAAAAGGTTCAGACTGGTAATGCTAGGGCCAGTGAAGATGATGTAGTTTTTTCCTGATGCATTCTGACAAAGGCTCTTGGCCACCATACTGTGGAGCTGAGGCTTGTTCTTCAGAGCATCCAGTCCATCGGCACCACTTCCTTCTTTGAGATGGACGTAAATCTTAATGAGCAAGTAGAAACAAGAAAGAAAGGCATTGTGGTTATTATGGCTCAGGAAGAAGCAAATGCAGATGTCAGTCCACCAGCTAGATTTCAGTGGAGGCAAGCTGTAAATAAAGACTGTAGATAACCATTTAAATGTCCAATACACCTGTCAAGGGAGCACTGCACTGTCTTTAAATGACTTTGGAATAGCAGCTGGTATAACAAAGGGAGAGAGAGATCCTTGTCTAGACTCAAGGGCTTTCTGGGGTCAGGGTTGCTACCATGAAGCTGGAAAAAAAGCATTGTCATGATGCAATAAACCTCTACTCTTAGATATGCTGCTATATTGATTTTGCACAGGCTTACTTTTGTCAGTAAAAGGCGATGTTGGGCCTTTGTGTTCCAAAAATATGGGCCTTTACAAGAGGACCAATGAAACTGTCCATTAGTTGAGTAGTATTCAGATTTATCATCTCTTCAGCTGCCATTAGAAGGTGATGTGACCACACACTCATGCCAGAATGACACGTTCTTCCATAAATGCCAGCTGTCCATGTCCACAGCAGGCAGTACGTTCTACCTCGACCTCAGGTACTGTTCTAGCTTACTTCTTTTGTACAGATCTTTGATTTGAAGGTAAGCCACTAAAACACAGAAAACAGGCAGTCGGGGTGCTTTGAGCTTCTTTTAACAGTTAATTGTCCTTCCTAGCTGGCTGGGACAAATCAGATTGTGTTGCTGGCATAGCAACTTAAAGCTAACCATTACCATTGTTCAGTAAATGTTTCTGCTGTACTCATAAGACCTGGTGGTCACTCACAGCAGGCCATGAATTCTTATGTGCAGTAGCAGGAAAGGTTTGTTCCCTGCTAAGAGTTAATGATAGCCTCCGTCATTGTATGGATAGGTACATACAGTACAACAGTCACCCTTGTTGATGCTCTGCAGGAACATATAGAGGTGAAATTATCCTCTCTCTCCTACAGGCAGTCAGTCTGAAAAAAGGTTATGGCACAGTAGGTAAATAGGGAGAAGCCTTGTTTGTACAGAAGACTCCAGGTTTCATTTATTTAATTCACAATATTTGGAAGCATAACTTTTAGTGCTTCTAAATGCTTAAACAAAGAAAGGACACACAATTTAGCAATCCTGCTAAATATAACCCACACGCACTTCCTCTCATCTGGTCACCCTAACCTTCCCCCAGAAGTCTAAGGTAATAAATGAGGTTTACAGCAGGCTTCCCATGTCAACAATCAGGGACTCTGATAAAATTACTCCTCCTTTTGGTTCAAGAGTTGAAGACTTGTCAGAAAAATGTAACCTTGCCATCTATCCTGCATTTCTGTAAAAGGGATATTAGCTCTCACTCCTTAGTGGATCAAACTGGTGGGGATATGAACAGAAAGACTAGATACTTCCCTAAATCCCAGAAACTGCCTAGCCAGCATCTTCTATGAGTATTACGGGTTTTTTTTTTAAAAGAATGATCTATGTACCTGATTCTCCTTTGGCTCCTGATGTCAGCTAAAAGTAAAGTACAAATAAACTACAATTTCTAGGAGGAAGCACAGTTCTGCCTCCCCGCCTTTTCTCCATTCCTTACGATTTATAACCTTCTCCTCTGTGAAGAGCTCCAGGGGTCTGATTTAAATATTCTGAAATTAAACAACATTTTCAAGAAATCAACATATGTTAGCTAAAAGGCCTTATGGAAAAAAATTTCCAGAAGTGCTTGAGAGAGTGAGCAGCCCAGATCTTAAACTCAGCGGGCACATCTTCACATGCAATTAATGTGCCCGAATTTACTGCGCAGTAAATTGAGGTGCATTAAATTGCTCCTGGGTGCGTGTCTTTTCATGTGCCCAGACTGGGAGCAAATTGAGCCTGACAGGAACAGTCCAGGGTTGATCCCCTGCTTTACCCCCTGTAGCAGCCAGGAAGAGTTCCAGGCTCCCGTGGGTTCCAGCCCCAGGCTGGCAGGCACTGGGGACAGTCCAAAGCTGGTAGGGGGCACAGGCGTTAGGCCTGGGCTCTGGAGGGTGGAGGAAGCTGTCCCCACTCCAGGGGCAGCACTCAGCTGTAGGGAGCTTGAGGCCAGCCCTGAGCTACATACAGTTGGGAGGTGCCCCCAGAACTGGGACAGCTCCCCACTTCCCTCTGGAGTTTGGGGCTGGCCCCGAGCTCCACACAGCTGAAAGCTGCCCCCAGAACCATGACAGCTGCCCCTCCCCGGCCCTCCCCAACAGAGCTTGGGGCTTAGCCAGGCAGCAGTTGTGGCCACCTGCTGCCTGAGCTGCCCGGGAACAATTTGCTCCTGGTTAGGGTCTCCACGTGCACTTCAGCGCATTCATTTAAAGTGCTGTTTTCTAGTACCTGTATCTGTTAGTAATAGCAAATGGCACTATAAATTAAATCTACTGTGCAGTAATTGATGCACACCTGTAGACAGTGAGGCTTTGCTGTGCATTAGATTAATCTAATGTGCAGTAAAGTGCACGCATAAATGTGTGCGGTGAGACTTAAAGTCTGAAGTCATTTAGGTGTGTTAGAAATTTTTACTCTTAGCTAAGAGCAAATTCTTGAAGCCACAGAGGGGTGAGGGTAAGCTGTAGAATTTATGCGTTTAAACCTGAATGACATTTCCAGGTCTTGTTAGTAGCACTGGAAAAAGTCTCAGTACAAATCCACAAAGCTAAGTACAGACAGTCAAAAAGCTGGAGGCTGAATCAATTCAATCTTTGCAGGTTAGTCTATGCTGCATAAACTGAACTGATAAGCAAGTGATCAGACATTCACTTTTGATTGCAGAAATGTAGCCACATGCCCACAGCGACTAGGGCTGTACGAAATTTTGCCACCAGTTTCAATTCGATGCTGTTTCAACCTGTTTCAAGGTTGAAACAGCAAAATCAAAATGAAACAGAAACAGCCTTGAAACAAAACGAGGCAAGTCGAAACATTTCGCTGTTTCGATGTTTTGTCCATAGGTTATAATGAGGAAGGTCAAAACAGCCTATAACTTTGTCATTTCTGGACAGATTTGGATAAAACTTGCAGAAATGGTACCCCCTTCTGAGGGCATAAAGGGTGCCAAGTTTCAAGAAGATAGGCACAGGGGGTTTGGAGAAACTGCACCCCAATATCTTGAGAGCCAAACTTGTGTCATGTGTATGTGTTAAGCCACAGCAGGGTCAAAACTGCCGGCATGCTAGCCCCTGCTGAGGCCACAAAGCCTGCCAAGTTTCAAGGAGGTAAGTAGAGGAGATTGGGGGAAACTGCACCTCAAGCTGCAGACAAGCAAAACTCGTGACACGGGGGACACTGTGTGTGTTAAGGCGCAGCAGGGTGAAAGCTGCAGGCCTGCTAGCCCCTGCTGAGGCCACGACGCCTGCCAGCTGTCGAGAAGATTGGTGCAGGGGGGTTCTGGGGCCCTGCACCTCTAGCTGCTGACAGACAAAACTCGTGACATGGGTGCTTGTGCAACTGACTGTCTGTCTTGGGGCAGTTGATTGTCTGTATTGATTATTTCCTCTCCTTAGTCTGTGGTTTTGTAGGTGTTAATCCATGCTCGTTAAGTCATTATATAGCAGCTAGGTCCTGTGTATTGAGCTGGTCCCTGAGTGAATCATGATTAATTGGTAACTGGTAACACAGTAGCTTAGCAGCCAGGCATGCAGTAGTGTGTGTGTGTGTGTGTGTGTGTGTGTGTGTGTGTGTGTGTGTGTGTGTGTGTGTGTGTGTGGCCGCCCAGTGCCCCAAGACAGACAGTTGCACAAGCACCCATGTCACGAGTTTTGCTTGTCCGCAGCTTGAGGTGCAGTTCCCTCCAAACCCCTGCACCTATCACCTTGAAATTTGGCAGGCTTTGTGGCCTCACCAGAGGCTACCACATCTGTGGTTTTAACCTCCCTGTGGCTTAACACATACACATGACATGAGTTTTGCTCTCAAGATTTTGGGGTGTAGTTTCTCCAAACCCCCTTCCCCCAGCTTCTTGAAACTTGGCACGCATCATGCCCACAGAAGGGGCTACCATTCCTGCAAGTTTCATCTAAATCAGGTCAGAAATGACAAAGTTATAGCCTGTTTTGACCTTCCCATTATATCCTATGGGTGAAACGTCGAAACAGGGTTGAAATGTCAAAACATTTCATCGAAATAAAATGGAACAGCCGTTTTGATTCGAAACAAAAGTTGAAACGAAACACTGTTCTGTCAAAATGTTGAAATGCTGGTCGAAACGAAACACTTCCATTTTGCACAGCCCTAACAGTGACCCAGGCCAGAAGCTGGGGGGTGCTAGAGCATGCTTTTCTGCTCGCTGGAACAGACAGCTTGGGCCAAGGTTAGGCCACCCATCCTGAGTGGGGCAGTTTGCAGGGGAGGTGCGTAGCACCTGTGGGACTGCAAGTGATCTTGAATCTGGAGGGGATCTGGGACAGAAATTCAGTATACCGATTTAACCTAAGTCAGTTAAGTCTGATACTACATCCATCCAGGTTTATCTTAAACCGGTTTTGACCATTTTGAAAGTGGTTTATGTGCACTGAACTTCTGTTGCGTTACAGATTTGAACCGGTTTTTGATCACTTGTACCAGTTTGTACGTAATTTCTCTCCCTAGCCCAATTGTTTGGAGACCTTCACCTTCCTGACAGGCATCTGACTCCACCCAACAAGCTCCAGTATAAAGGACATTGCATTGCAATCCTGCTCTTCCTTATTCTCTCATGCCAGTTTCTTCCTTCCATTTTTCTTCACCCACCAGAACTCTGTGGGCCCCTATCTCCCTCCCTAGAATCCTACCCCCTCCCAGGCGCTCTTTGCCTGTTGCCATAAGTGACATTTCTCAGATCTCCGCAAAACTCATTTTTACTGTACAACTTCCAGTACCAGTCAGTTCCATTTTAATTAATCCCTTCTGGCTTCTGTAGCCCACAAACCATTTCAGTCTTAAGCAGCTGCTGCTGGCTGGTAAGTATGAGTTTCTGAGACTACTCACCCCCAGGTCCTG